TGTTTTCATCTATAAAACAGATGTTCTAATTCTTTCAATTTGTTTGCTAAAAATGGCCCAACTATAATACACACAAACATTCTAATTTTAATAAACGTTTTTGGTTTCCAAGAAATTAGCAGTTATTTTTTCTTTTCAATCAATTCATCAAATTTTGTATATGTTATTAATTTTAAACAATGTTTTATAAAGTTAATCTGTATAGTATTTTATTTTTATTTCATGTATGCACTTAAGGAAACCATTAATAGAGAGAAAGGCAAAGTTTACAGTGAGCAATGAGTTTATGATAAACTAAGGCACTGCTTTAAAAGTATAAAACATTACAGTACTACACGTAAATCTGGACACTACTGTAAAATATTTGTAATTTTCTTTCACAGATATTTCATAGACATTCACATTATTATTATTATTGTAAATGTTTATACCTATTATTAAATTTTTTTTGTATTTCTAAGGCATCAAGAACATATGACTGTCTTTAAAAAAATTATGAGGAAAGAATCTTTTTCTGCACATTTTTAAAGCCAATTACAGTCAAACCTTAATTTAGCACTAGTATTAATTTGCTTCTAAAATTGACATTAAATCAAATGTGGTACTAAACTGAAGTACTTAAACATTTAGGGTATAATTCAGAAATATCATTCAAAAGCCACTCACCCTCATTTTTCTCTTAGTCAGCTTTTACTCCTTCAAAACAGTATTAAAAAAAATAAGCAGCACAAGTCATCTCAAAAGTGTGTGTGAAATGAATGGTAGGTGAAAGGAAAGTGAGTGACATTTAAGGGAAGCCAGGAGGTCCCTAAAATCATACTGATATGAACAGCGGAGTAGCATGGGTGTCAGCCACCCGGGGCAGAGGAAAATTTTGCTGTCCCGTTATTTAGGTATCTCAATTTAAAAACTAAAATTCAGTTTTGTAACAGAACAAGTAATGATAATTTCCTTGCCAGTGTAGCCACCTGATTAAAATAGCTCCATTGGACATTGAAGGTGTATGTGAATACAATTGAATCGTACAAGCAAAAAAAAAAGGTTGTGCACAGCATCTCTGGGTGAAATTAATAGTTCACATGGACGGTGAGTCAATTCCCGGACTATTCCGTGCTCATTTCAATCAGTCCTAATTGTAGGTGTGACGAAAATATGGGATAAAATGGTTGAAATTTTTACAAAATATTATTATTATTATTTATTGTGAAATTTTGCCGCCTCCTAAAAAGTGCCCCTACTATGCTACGCCACCGGATATGAAATATTCTATGTTTATTTCTATTTGAAAATAAAAATCATTCAGAAGTTTAAAATAAACATTTTGTACTCCAAGATCAAGAACATAATTCTTAACAGAATGTTACTACGTTAGCAAGATATACAGGTTAAAAATTGAAATTCAAAAATTAATATAGTAAGCTGAATGATAAGATTTGTAATAAATTTGAAATAATAAAATGTTAGAAATAAATAATAGATTTTAATATTAAAAAAAATTTTACTTTAATTTTGTAAAACAAGAATATAAAATAAACTGCTATATATAAGATTTTCATGTATCTGTATATGAAGATTAATATATTAGGTTTATGTTCTGATAGTTTATTTAAGACTAAAAATATATAGAAATATGTAACATAATTTATTAAATTAAAAATCTTAAAATGTGTATAGTTGTAAAGATTCAATTGTAAACATATGTGAGGACCAAACCGAGGTCTGAAATCATGTAAATCACGGTATTCTTGTGATTAAATAATAACGATAGATTAAACATGAGAGGGAGAGGAAAGTCCCATAATTTAAACAACATGGCACAAAATGTAAACAACGAGTCCCAGATGACTCCAACACGTGTAAACGAACTGTCAATGTCAAATTGAAAAGTTATGTCAGACACAAGTGATCATAAACAAGTAGAACTTTGACCCAAGCGATCATAAACAATCAATCTAGGAAAACAATTTTGGAAAAGAGAGAGAGATTTAAGAGAGATAAATCACTACATATGATCGTTCGAGTACCCAGATGAAAGAAATTGTGAGTAACAGGGCTAAATTATGAGCGCGAGTCTTAGCAATTTTGTCAACAATCCCCAAGAACAATCGACAGAACGGTGTCGAGCAGACACCTGGAATCGGACCTTTCCTTTGATCTGAGTCGGTCTCGGTTTTCCCCAAAATAAAAGAGAGACTAATCGGGAAGCAAGGAAGGGGACAAGGGGCCAATCAGAAGTCCGAATAGTGGGAGAAAAAACTATAAAAATCCTAAATTCAAGGTCGGGGAGACTCTCATCTGTATTCGACGAAAGGTCGTGACTTATATTGTGGTGTGTCGTCGCCAAGAACTTTGGACTCCGCCGCTTCCTCCTTCCGATCATCTGCCTTGCTCAGCAACCTCATCTCGTCCACCCCAGGACCAGACCCGGGGCAGATAGATGCCGAATTTCTCACCTCTCCGCCTCTTCGACGAGAAGAACCTAGTGAAGGACTGTCAATTGTCCATGTAAGCATGAATGTTAACAAATAAACGGCTTTCTTGTGTAAAACACTTGTCATCATTTGCCTCCTCCATCACAGTCCACATACAACCTTCTCTTAGGTTCATCCTGACACGGGATTAATAGATCCCACCTAGGAGACGGCAACCTTACACAGGTGCCATGGAGTGGGTTTCAAGTCCCCTATCTCCACTGGGTCAGCTACCTTACACATATATTATTTATTAGAATATTTCTTACATAAATAAATTCAGAAATTCTAATAATTATATGATTTTTGAATGTAATGGAAAATAACTAGTTTTCTTACATTCAATGACATGTTTATTTTCAGCCACCAGCTCTGCTAAATAACGTTTTTCATTCATGATCATGAATGATTTTCTCTGCTTAACTTTAACTTTTAATAACCTCACAAAATTAATAAAATAAGCACATTTAGATACAAAGGCAAGCATGTCATCAGAAAATACATTGTTATGATATACAGTATTTCCTGATTTGCATAGTCATATCTTTCACTTATTCCAACCTCACTTTGAATACCATATGTGAGAATGAGTTACACGCATCCTCAAATGAAGTAATAAATAAAAAAAGTATAAGATGAGACTAAGTGGCACTTAGATTCTATTCTTTATGAATTCTACTCTTATAATTATATTTAATAATGAGGTCCACACAATTTTGAGTTTGAAAGTTCAAATGTCACATGATTTAACAATAATTGATGGAATTGATGCTATTATCAAGTATTGCCAGTGAATAATGACATTTAAAAAAAAAAACAGACTAGACATTTTCTGTAAGTCATATAAAATATATTATTGTTAACATTTATTAAATATATAAAAGATAAAATTGAACAATGGGATCAGTTCAATCAGGGAAAAATTTTACATAAAGAAAAAATCTTATTAAATGCCATATTAAAGAACATTGTAGTATTAAAAGTTATGCAAATAACATAAATTTGAATGCCGGCATGATAGATGATGCATGCTGGGATAGTATTGATATAGTTAATTGAAATTGGTATCCACTGAAAAAGTTGAATAAATGAAATGCATTTGGATTTTTAAAAAAAAGTAAAAATAAATGTTTTCCTTTTTTTGATTGTTACTGTCTTATCACAATTCACTCAAAGTCAGTAAAGAATGAGTGTTTTTACTCAAAAAATTGTTCTAAAAATTTTTATTTTTAGAATTATATTTATTAATTTTGTTAATATTTACTTTAAGATATTTCTATGAAATAAATTTTATAAAAATTTTACTAACTTTAACTGAATAGAGTGAAGTTATTATGAAAATCCCAAACCAAGCCTCCAATATATTCTTAATTTAACAATAACAAAAATGCACCACAAAGAACATGAATTCAAAAATTTTCAATCCAATTTACATTACAAATCATGCTATCCATCCTCTATATGGAAATATTTTACATTTCCATAATACAAATAAAATTCTTTAATAGTATTATAACTTATAGAAATCTTATGTATTTAACTGAAAACACTTTTTTATAAATATGTTTTATAATATATAATAATTTTTTTTTCAAAAACATGATAAAATTTACTTGTTAACTTTTCATATCAGCAGAAAATGAACATATTAGAACCTCTTAATTTTCAGAAAAGGATAGGAAGTTAAATAATCAATTCTAGAAGATATTCAACAGAAAAATAAAGAGAAAAAATTTATAAAAATTTAATAGTTGAGTCACTATCCATATATATAGTAATATTTGAGTTTTTAGATAACAAAATACAACATAAAATTGACTAAATTGAAAACTGTTCAAATTTGATGTCTTTTAGTATTTTATATATATAAGTGCATATTATTATGTTCTGGCAAAATTTAATTTTTCCTTCATTCATGTTTTCTATCTGTTATTTACTATTTCTACTATCTGCAAGCAATATCAAATTTTGAAATTAAATAAAAAACAGTTTGGCCTTTTAGTGCTCTTTGAGCAAGAAAGGCCTAAACCACAAATAAATAAATAAAAAGTATAAATAATTCAAGACAAAACTTCACAATTTGATAAGAATAAAAATAATGAAATATAAAAGATACCTAATTCATTAATATTTAATTATAATGAAAAGGTAAGCCTATTTGATTAAAGTTATTCCAAATTTGCAATGAAATCCTTACATACAGAATCTGCTTATAATTCAATAATCCAATTTTAAATTTATTATTTTTTAGATTAAGTAAACTGTTAAATTTAAAAAAAATGTAAACATGAAAATAAACTGATTGGTTAAATACTATTTAATACTAACAATAAATTAGTGTTTGTTATGTTCCAATCATTCTATTGAATATAAATGAGGTTTCTAGATAGACTTTTTAATAGATGCTTTATATAAAATTGTATTTTATATCTTTTCTTTGCCATATTATTTCCATTTACTTTGTAATATGATAATCCAAATATCTTATATATTATTGAAATAACTTCCATTAAATTATTCACAAATAACCTTGGCAATGATATCCAGAACACATACTGGAAGATCTAGATGGAGACTGCTGGACAGAATTTTCAGTTGTAGAAACAGAAGTTTGTGATAAATTTCCAGTGTTGTTAGCATTCATTTCAAATAAATGAGAAAAAACTACTTTTATCATTTGTCCACTCCACAATAATTGCAGTTGTTTTTTCACATATATTAAAGATTCATGGAGACTGAAAATATATTTCATTATAAGAAATAAAATTTTGTTTATTGAAAATTTATATTCATTAGTTAAAAATATAATTACCCATGATCAATGCTTTGTGCAAACCAACCAAGTATCGGATGCCAATGAGTTAAATTTGACTGCTTATTTACTACATATTTTTGGCAACTTTCCAATAATCGAGTAATAACATTCTGAAAAACATAAAAATGTATGATACATAGACACTTTTCTAATTTATTAAATTTTTTGTTACAATTTGAGTTCAAAATATTATAAATTTTTGAATTTTAGAACAATGTACTACAATATATTATTTTTAATGAGAGTATTAAAGATATGACTCAAAAAAGTAAATAGTATTGATAACAAATAAAAGAAGTATCATTGCATTACATAAATATGTGAATTATAAATAAAAATACTATCAACTGTTGTATTTTGAAGATATAACAAAGATTAATTCTTAAAACCTTATTTTTATGCCCTTTCATTATATTTTTAATATCACATGTAACTTTTAAGAGAATGAAATAAAAATGAGTTATAACATTTCAATATTCAGAAAATGTTCACGTTTTTATTTTATTTTTCTGATCTACTTATTACATGCATATATTAATGTAAAAGTGTTCAATTTCATGTTCTTAATCTTAAAATCTTAACGCTAAATAAATCATGATCTCAAATCATCATATGGAAAATAATAAATACAAAGTTCCTNTTACTTTGTAATATGATAATCCAAATATCTTATATATTATTGAAATAACTTCCATTAAATTATTCACAAATAACCTTGGCAATGATATCCAGAACACATACTGGAAGATCTAGATGGAGACTGCTGGACAGAATTTTCAGTTGTAGAAACAGAAGTTTGTGATAAATTTCCAGTGTTGTTAGCATTCATTTCAAATAAATGAGAAAAAACTACTTTTATCATTTGTCCACTCCACAATAATTGCAGTTGTTTTTTCACATATATTAAAGATTCATGGAGACTGAAAATATATTTCATTATAAGAAATAAAATTTTGTTTATTGAAAATTTATATTCATTAGTTAAAAATATAATTACCCATGATCAATGCTTTGTGCAAACCAACCAAGTATCGGATGCCAATGAGTTAAATTTGACTGCTTATTTACTACATATTTTTGGCAACTTTCCAATAATCGAGTAATAACATTCTGAAAAACATAAAAATGTATGATACATAGACACTTTTCTAATTTATTAAATTTTTTGTTACAATTTGAGTTCAAAATATTATAAATTTTTGAATTTTAGAACAATGTACTACAATATATTATTTTTAATGAGAGTATTAAAGATATGACTCAAAAAAGTAAATAGTATTGATAACAAATAAAAGAAGTATCATTGCATTACATAAATATGTGAATTATAAATAAAAATACTATCAACTGTTGTATTTTGAAGATATAACAAAGATTAATTCTTAAAACCTTATTTTTATGCCCTTTCATTATATTTTTAATATCACATGTAACTTTTAAGAGAATGAAATAAAAATGAGTTATAACATTTCAATATTCAGAAAATGTTCACGTTTTTATTTTATTTTTCTGATCTACTTATTACATGCATATATTAATGTAAAAGTGTTCAATTTCATGTTCTTAATCTTAAAATCTTAACGCTAAATAAATCATGATCTCAAATCATCATATGGAAAATAATAAATAAAAACAACTTTAAAATATTTTGCTTTTTTCATAATTACTATACAAAATTGTTTAATTTTTTTATTATACAAATTATATCATACAAAATTGTTTAATTTTGTATAGTACAATTTTGCATATATCATCTGTTAAATTTAAATTTCCTATGTTCTATTTTATTTTTAAAAGCTGCTAAAAAAGTTTTTGATGTTTATTGTATGTCTTCTATTTTATTATAATTCTTGTTTGTTTAAATTCAAATTTCTATATTTTATTTATATTCCTAAAAATATGTTAAATAATTTTAAATTTATTTTATGTTCTATTAAAACAGGAAAATTACCAATCTCCTACATTCATTAATAATGAATTTCAATAAAATCTCTAAATCTCAAATTTGAAGAGACTAAAACATGACCAGTTTGATTAATGAGAGTTACACAAATGGAGGTATATGAAAAAATAGAAACATTTTTTTCAGACACAATTTCAACACATTTAAGGGTATATCTTTTCTTTCCACCCACTAAATTATCTCTAGGAAATTTGACATATGCATTTTTAGAATCCTTCTCTTCTTTCTGTACTTTTCTATAGCTTCCTTATGTTAAAGATTAACTTTGCAATTGGAAATTTGGCCTAAAGCAAATTTATTTTTATATTATGTTTTCTTTAAATATTGAATTCATAATTGTTTTTGTTAATTACTGTATTAACCATTTGTATTAATTACTACATACACAATATTGCTAATGTCTTTTGCTTTTATTAAGGATCTGTTATTGGGAACAGTTCTTTCTTGTTCACTGGACATTACCCGTATTAATTATTAAATAAATAATGTTTTCTTAAACTTTCAGAGCAAAATACTTCTATAATTTGTACAGCCTTATATATTATATTCATCCAAGTCTTTTGTATATTCCATCAACTGATTAATATTGAAAATCTAATTAGCAAAATGATTTACTCACAAAAAATGACAAGTTAAAATAATCAATATTGAAATAATTAATTATATATGACATTTATCTTTTTATTAAAATTTCAGTTTCTAATTTTCCAAGCTAATTTAAACTAGTTACATAAATTTATATAAAAATTCAGTTTAAAATAAGCTTTTTTTTTTTTTAATAAATGCAAAACTAGTTAAAATTTTATTATAAGCAATCTTACAATTCATTGAACAATTTAATTTAAATGTTTTACTATAAATCAAGTTTTATAATTACCATAAAGTCCAAAAGGTTATTTGATAATACCTGAAAGAAAAAAATTTTGAATCACTAAAATAAATGCTTTATTTTATATAATATAGAAATTATTAAGAAATCACTTTATATTCATTTCCAAATCAATATTTAATGAATAATTAATATTATATATTTTATAATATTCATATTTCTAGAATTAAACAGAAAAATAAATGAATTCAATTAACTTATATGTAAAAGTTTTAATGTGTTTTAATTAATAGCAATAACAAATATTGCAAATCAATAAGGCTAAAACTCTGAAATATAAATAACTAATGATAAAAAAATTGCTTTGAAAATTAGTTTTAAGTTATCCAATAAAATTCAGATGCTTATTTTACTTAAAATTACAAAAAAAGAAAAAACAATTATTTCTTAATTTGATAATGCAGTTATACAAACATATACAAAATATCAACACAAAACCATCTCAATGCTAAAATAAAAATATGTAAATAGGGTGGTACTTAATGCCCTGCACTGAAACCCCCAATCCAGGAACTCCTGTATAATGCATTCTGAATGAAATTTGAAAAAGTAAATAAAATAATAATTATAATGGGTGGTAATAAATTGATATATGTTATATATAAAATATAAATTAAGCCTTGACTACATCTCAGATCAGGCTACATCTCAGATTTTTAAAACTAATTATTATTCTTAAAAAATAAATTATTCTAGCATATTTGATATCAATTACATGATTCCTATAGTTGGATAGCATAATAAATAAATGATCTAATAAACATATTTTAAATTTTAAAATTCTTGTGTTTCCTTTGCAGAAAAACTTTATTCAAATCCTGACTTAATAATGCAGTATGCATATTAATCATGTTGGAATAAATGACTAGTAAATAGTGCAAGAAAATTTCATTCTAAATATTTATAAGTTTCATTCACTTTTCTCTTATCATATAAACTCTATTTTTCTTTTTCAATAATCAATTGACATTACTTAAGTAACATTATTTTATCACCAACTTCTTATTCTTAATTAAATCTTACAAAATATTAACACAGCTTTCTATTTCTCATTTGATGTATTTGTTAATATTATCATATATCACATTTGCAAAAACTAATAATTTAAATTTAAATGTTTTCAATTTTCACGATTTCTCTATAGTTATAACATATAACTCAGTAACTCCAAAAAATAGAACACAAAATAAGACTGACAATAACCTTATTTAATTTTCTAGTTATCCTAAAACAGAAAGATAAAAAAATTGTATAACTATTGCTCTTTTATTTCTCTGTAGACTTTTGAATAAATCAAGCAATCTGCTATACATTCTTAATCTTTAAAATTTTAAATAATGATTACAAACAATGCACATTTGTTTATTTCAACATTAAATGATGTGTTACCTGTTGTTAATGTGGATACAGGTTCACATTATTTGAAAAAATTAAATTGATAATGAATGCAAGTTTCTTAAATCAGATTTCAAGAAAAAAAATTTGATTATTATTATTCTTATTGAATCGAGTTTGCAACCTCCAGCATTTATTTTCCACCTCATAAAATATATTTTATTGTTTACAAACAATACTGTAATTGTAAATTATTATAAATGTTCCTCAACAACTTTAATTGAGTACTTGCTATATACAATAAATGATATTAAAAAAGTATTTACATTTGTTTTGCATTAATTTCATTTTATACTGATTTAGCTAATTTTACAAATTATTTAGTTATATTTTTATAAAGTTGTAAAAGAATTTATCCATTGGCATGCTGAATATTATAAATCTATTGTGCATGTAAATAATTTATAAGTGCATCTTATGTGACAAATTATAAGGAATCATATATACATGTTTGTACGCATGTTTGTAATAACAAGTAAAAATAAAAACTAAAATTCAAATAATTAGTATTAACCATGCAATTATGAGAAAATGATATGCCTTCTTGAAAAATATATACTAAGCAGATCACAGTAAATAGCATTAAATGTTGTTGATTCTTAGTTCTTTTATTCATAACAATCATTTAATTTTTTTTATGTAAGTTAAACTCCTTATTGACTATCATAGCTTTTCATTTCCACTTTACTCATTCTTTCATTTGAGTCATATGAAATGAAAATTAATAGCAATTATAAAACAGTTAAAATTTTTTGTTATAATGCATATAAACTACTGTAATTGAAATGATACTTTATGATTTATCTATTTTAACGCTGAAAATCTACTGTAAAATTTAAAAACTTTTAAATGCCAATTACAAATATATATATACAGGGTGTATCAGAATGACGTTTTAAAAATTTGGGGGATTGTAGAGGATGAAATTTTGAACATTTTGATATAAGGAACCTACAGCTGGAAATAAATAATATATATATATCCACTAGGTTGTAGGCTACTTCTTCAGCTCTTTTCGACGTTAGAGACTTAAGAATCACAAATTTTGTGAGATGATCTTGGTACACCATAATAAATTTGTATTCTCTATCTGGCTGAGACTGAAAGTCAATAAGATCTACTTGACAACGGGAATTAAATTCGGAAAAAATCATAGGTTTCACAACAATGCCCTTTTTAATACCTTTCTGTTTTTTCTGGCAAGGTTCACAAAGGTGGATGTACAGTTCAATATCATGACGTGTAACATTTTTGTATTTGATTGAAAGTTCTTTCAACATTCTATCACGTCCTCCGTGTCCAATAGCCAAATGAGCTTCATGAAGTACGTGAAATAACTCTGAGTCCGTGACGTAATACTGTATAGTACTG